TTTTTTAAGCAAATTCCTTTTACTTTTAAATTCACTTACTCTAGATATAATTAAAAAATAAAATAATTTTTAATTTTTTAAAAAAATTCACTAAATACAAATATATATATATTGAATACATTTTTATTTTTTAAATTTCTTTTATTTGTTGAATGTTTTTTAAAAATTTACCGTTTAGGTGTATTTAAAAAATAAAAAAATGGCTAATTTATGAAAAAATTTCATGAAAGACAACCAAGTGCGAAAAATAAAAGTTGAAACTATTTTTAAAAATTTTAAATCATACACACTGAAGGTTGTTTAGTGCAAAAAAAATTATTTTTCTTATAAAATTTGTGAACTTTAAATTTGTGAAGTGACTTTATATATAATTTTTTTTAAGCGTCACTGTGCAAAAAAAATTATTTTTCTTATAAAATTTGTGAACTTTAAATTTTGTGAAGTGCTTTATATATAATTTTTTTTAAGCGTCACTGTTTTATATCCTTAATAAATAGAGTTTGTTTGAAAATTAATTATTTTCATAATTTTTAAATTTTTTACTAAAAAAATATTTAAAAAGTAAATAAAATGATGTAATAATTTGTAATCACTTTTTAACTTTTTAATTAAAATAGTCTATTGATAAATAAGGTGTTAGTTGAAAGTTTGAACCCATTTGGCATTTTTATGGGATCATCAATGGAACGAGCCGGCCTGCAACTATTATGCTCACGTTTCATATATTAATGAGTTTTTCAAATTTTAATCAATCAATGGGTTAGTACGGACCGGGCTTATTTAAAAAAATTGAAATCATATCCCACCCTTTAGTCCAAATCTTATAGACTAAAATCAAACTGAATTGGGTCACACATTTTTTATTAGACTTATATTATTAAGTTATACACATTTTTATTTTATTTTTTAATAATTCATCTTATCAAATTAATTAATAATATTAAAACAATCAAATTAAAGTATAAATTCACCAAATTAACACATTATGACAATATTATATGTAAAAAGTTAAGAGTTAGGAAGATATCACTGGTCACTGTTAAATTCAATTTTAACAAACTGTATTTTGTGTATTTTTTTAAATTACAATTTACAAGGATAATATTGTCAATCAATTGTTATTTTCATTTTTATTTTAAACGGAACAATATTGATTTTAAGGGATTAAAATTAAATTTAACATGTTTGTTTCCAGTTTTTTGAAAATATTTTTCAAAAAATTTTATTTTCTTGTTTTCCGTATTTTTTTGTTTTTACTGAATTTTTTTTAATATTTTAAGCTATTTTTTTAATTTTTAGACACACTTAATATAAATACACTTAAAGAGTATAATTTTCATGAAAAATCTTTAAAAAATTCACTAATACCAAAAATATATTTAAAAAAATACAAAAATTCATTTTATTTTTCATATTTTTGTGTATTTATTAATTTCTAAAAATATTTTCTCACAAATATTTTATATTTTAGATACATCTAAGTGAGGTACATCTAAAAAAGTAAAAAAAAAAATTAAAATTTTAAAAATATTCAATAAAAACAAAAAAATAAGAAAAACAAAAAACTCCCAATTTTTAAAATATCGAATTCAAAAAACTGAAACCAAACATTTTTTTTTTACCGAATAATTTGAGTCGGGTTAATGGAATGATCAAATTGGATTTACTCATGCCGGCTTTGTGTTGGCCAAGTTTATGGAAAAATTTGAGTTTCAAACTTTTATCTAAAATCCTACACTACGCAAAAATTGAGCTTTAGCGGCGGTTTTTTACCGCCGTTAAAGGCTGTAAAACCGCCGTTAAAACCTTTAACGGCGGTATTAACGGCGGTTTCGTTACCGCCATTTATGCACGTGTCGGAAAAAGTACAACCGTCGTAAAAAGGTAAATTACCGTCGTTAAAAGTCGACAAAAAACGGTGATAATATAGGACCAAAAACGGCGGTTTTTTACCGCCGTAAACAGGTTCAGATTTTTTCAAAAAGTAATTCTTTCTTCTTGCACTCCCCAAGTTTTGAACCCAAGACCTCTCATCCACCAACACCAACCACTCTGCCATAGCCACTCTTCATGAAATATGTTCTCTAAATAAATATTTAAACATTACTTTTACTTTATTATAGATGGTTTCGCCGGAGCACGCCGAAGTTTCGCCGGAGCACGCCGAAGTTTCGCCGGAGCTCCGCCGGCAAAGACCGCCGTCATTAACGGCGGTAATGATTGGGCATTAGCGCGGTTTTGTTACCGCCGTTAAAGGCCGGCATTAGCGGCGGTTTTGTCACCGCCGTTAATAAAGGGTTTCATTACCGTCGTTAAAGACACTTTAGTGGCGGTTTTTTTAACGGCGGTAACAAAACTGCCGTTAATGATAAATTAACGGCAGTTTTCGTTACCACCGTTAATAGTACCTTTAACGGCGGTTTTCGTTACCGCCGTTAAAAAAATCACCGTTAATGTCCTGTTTTGACGTAGTGCTTGATAATTTTCTCTAAGTTCAAACGAGTCATAAAATGATTTGGACGAATTAAACAATTGTTTTTTTTTTTTTTTTGGTTGGCAGACCATGTAATGAACCCATAGACTGGCTATGGAGTCAAGCACACCTCCCTTGACCCCATTTCGCATATTTATGAAGTCATTGAAATGAATTACAAGCCGTGGCTCCCCTTCCAAGTTTCTCCCCCACAACTTTCTTGTGCTAGCTGTTGTCATTGAAGTTTTGATTGAAAAAGGTGGGTTGGTGGTGACCTTTCTTGCATAATTTTCCTAGTTATTTTCTCAAACTTATCAATCCCACTTTGCTGGTCTTCAAGTACAATATCGGTCCTATTGGATACATTAATTAGTATATTAATTAGTATATTAACATATGTCATAATATTAGTATTAACTTTATTTATTATACAAATTATAAATATCAAAAATCTCTTAAATTATACTATATCATCAATTGGTATACTAATTATTATATTAATTAGTGCATATAATATTATTCAGTACAATAATATAGGATTTGGGTCAAGTGCTATTAATATGATTATTGCAACATTATTATTTTAAAGATAAAAAGGTAATTTTTTAGTATCATATTCAAAAATTATTCCCAACCGTTAGATCTGGACATGGGGAAAAAATAACATTTAGGGAAAAATGCAACTTGAATAGTAAAGAATAAAATTGGATATAATAAACGAAATAATTTTATCAAAAAATTAAATCATTCTTGTAATTTTATTTATCGTTGATATTAATTCGACTTACAATTGGACCCTATTTATTAAGAGATCCAACTTTGCTTATTGCACAATGTGATCATCAATTAAACGGTGATCATGAAGTACAATATATTGAATTATCTATCAACACATCTAAAAGTTCTCATAATATACGATATTGAATTATTAATCACTAATACATTTAAAAGTTTAAATTATTAGAAAGAGAAACTCTATAATACAAATGTGGTTTGTACTATATGTCCTAATTATGATAATTGAGATTTTTGGTTATGACCTATTTTGGTATTAGTTATAATTTGGTTATGACATATTGCGATATTAATTATGACTCATTGTGATGTTGGTTATGATATATTGTGATTATTATTTAGTTATGTTCGAAACGCCTTTGGTTATGTGTGTTTGGTTATGACTCATTATTTTTTAAGCTATCACTAAAAGAGACTCGGTTATGATATTTGTGATAATCAACATCACCACAAATGTCATAACTTGTATATGATATAGATCCCAAAAAAGATATATATGTATAATAGCATGACCCCTTTATGTATATATATATATATATATATGAGGAGGAATAGTCTGGAGGGCCCTGTTTGGGGCAGTGGATCCCAGTATGGGTCCCGTTTTAATGATCTGAGTTATTCATTTTGTTGAGCACTTTGTGTATTTCATCTATACAAACAATTAGGTCGATTCGATAATTGTAACTTGTCTAATTTATAGCGTTGGTCACTATAAAAATTGATGATTTATTTTTAAAAATACAATTGTCGTCTTTTTTTTTTTGTGACGAATACGATAAATTAAATATGTTACAATTAACAGGTCGACCTATTTTTTTTTTTTGTGAATGAAGTATATAAAATGCTTGACAAAATAAACAGTTTAGATTATCAAAATAAGACATGTGATGAGAATCACAGGCCCAAATAGCGCCCTCCAATCCAAATTTTGGACTAGAAGGCATTCTTCTTGATATATATATATATATATATTTGGGTTCAGCTTCTCTCAAGTTGATCATCTCAACTTGAAAAGCGTTAGGGTTTGGTACGTCTATTTTAGGTCCTATTTCGATGATTTAAGTTGTTTATATTTTAGGACTCGTTGAGTAAAATATTTATGTAAAAAATCAAAATGAACAGACATTGGTAATTATATGCATGAATCAAAATGACTATTCTTAAAATTATATTTGTAATTCATTTTTATAAAAGAAATATGATTCAAATATATCTTTACCGATATTTAATCATTTTAATTTTTTATATGAAAATTTTACTTAATGAGTCTTAAAAAGTGATAAAAAAATAGGCTTATATAACCAAAACGATCTCTGAAATTGAGATGTTAATTTGTTAGAAGCTAAACCTTATTTTTAACATTATAAATAACCCACTAGATGTCACGTGGCCAATGCTAAGCCACAAAAGCACGCAAGAGAGGAATAGTTTTTGATGAATTTCAATAAAAGAATTCTTCTAGTCTTTACAATGACACATCCCTCAGATATATGCACTATCATAACCATCTAACTTGACTCTGGATCTAACTAATTCTAAACTCAATACAATCTAACTATAGTTAGTTATTGACAAATAGATTGCATGGAAAACTCTATATATAATTCTAAACTCAATACAACCTAACTATAGTTAGTTATTGACAAATAGATTACATGGAAAACTCTATATATAATGTATGGATATGACCATGAGCATTTATTTTCACAAGCTTAAGCTTAAGCATTCTCTCTCTCTCTCTGTCTCTCTCATGTCTGTAAGGAGGCTGTACAATGCTTCTCTTATGGGAGCTCTGGCACTGGTAGTGCACTTATGCATGGTTAATTTGGCCATTTGTTCCTCGAACTTCACAGACGAATTAGCTCTCCTCAGCTTCAAATCATCCATCAAACATGATCCCAACAATGTGTTGAGTAACTGGACGAAAGAAACCAATTTTTGTGGCTGGACCGGGGTCTTATGCAGTCGACGTAGGCAAAGAGTCACGGGCTTGCTCCTTGGCAACACGAGTCTCGAAGGCACCATATCTCCTCATGTTGGTAATCTTTCTTTCCTCCAACAACTCGATCTTAGCAACAATAGCTTCTACGGTCATCTCACAGATGAAATAGGCAATTTGCGTCGCCTAAAAACCCTTCTTTTATTTCTTAATATGTTAGAAGGAAACATCCCATTGGGTTTACACCACTGTCAAAGGCTTGAAGTGATATCTCTTGCCGTCAATAAATTTAGTGGTAGAATTCCGAAAGAGTTGAGCACCTTACCCTCTCTAAGTTTCCTTGCTCTCGGACGAAATGAACTTATAGGTACTATTCCACCTTCCTTTGGCAACACTTCAAGCTTAGAAGCGTTTGGGCTAGAAAAGAATCACATTTATGGAAACATTCCAACTGAATTGGCACAACTTCCAAATTTGAGGTTAATGGACCTTATATTCAATTATCTCACAGGTCCTCCTGCAATTTTTAACAAGTCTTCAATGGTTGAAATTGACTTGAATTTTAATGCCTTATCTGGAAACCTTCCAACAAATAATGGCCTTTTCCTTCCTAATCTTGAAGTCCTCCTTTTGGATCACAATCAACTAACTGGAAACATCCCTTCATCTCTTTACAATTCTTCTAAGCTCACTATGCTAATTCTATCTGCCAACTTGCTTACTGGACCAGTACCAAAACATTTAGGCAATCTAAAACACCTGCAACTTTTGTATTTATTTCGAAATCAATTGACAAATGAACCGGGAAGTACTGAACTTAGTTTTCTCACAGATTTGATAAATTGCACTTCCATGGTGGAGTTGTTAGTGGCACGAAAACATCCCTTCATCTCTTTACAATTCTTCTAAGCTCACTATGCTAATTCTATCTGCCAACTTGTTTACTGGACCAGTACCAAAACATTTAGGCAATCTAAAACACCTGCAACTTTTGTATTTATTTCGAAATCAATTGACAAATGAACCGGGAAGTACTGAGCTTAGTTTTCTCCAAGGAAGCACGGGTGCGGGTACGAGTACGGTACGGGTACGAGTGCGGGTACGCCGATTCGGCAAAACTCAAAAAAAGTTCGATACGGGTACGGCTACGGTACGCCGATATTTTTTTATTTTTTTTTAAATATAATTTTGATTGAAGGATCCAACCTACAAATTAAAATTAAATATCAAAACTAAAAAAAGAACTACTCATTTTCCTATAATTTAAAACCATTAAGCGTTAAAAATAATATTTGTGAAATCTCTCACTTTGACATGTTATGCACGGTGAATTTGTGATCATAATTTATTTTTAAAATCTTTCTTTTTGCTCATCAATTTGCTATTTTTATAGGGTGAGACCAAAGAAATAACAGGAGACCAAAGAAAGATTTAAAGTTAATTACCAACAGTAAAGGAAAAAAATTCTCAATTGGGACAGGTTGTTAATTGCAATTTGCATAATACATAAAATTGCATCATTCCCAACAATTACTAATCAACTAATACAGTATCAATTTTTAATGTTTTGTGCATAAACTTTAAAAGTTTGTTATGATTAAAGATTTTATAAAGAAATTCTAAGAGGATCTAAAGCAAAAGCATAATGCATAGTCATACACAGAACTACTCTTTATAGGCCTTGTTATTTTTTTTGGTTCAAATTGCTTTTTAAAAACATTAAAATCATTTGTTGATATGCTTCTACAATTTATACAAACAAACAGGACAACAGAGAAATATCAAAATTACTGATCTGCAAGGGCACCAAAAAAAATAAAAAATAATTGCTAATCTGCAAGGGCAGAAAAAAAAAAAAAAAAAAAAAAAAAAAAAAAAAAAAAAAAAAAAAAAAAAAAAAAAAAAAAAAAATTGGCCCTGGTGTACCCATGGCGTACCCACGCCGTACCCATAGCGTACCCGTGGCGTACCCATACCGTACCCGAATAAGCCAAACGTACCGGACCCTCTTTTGCCGTACCCGGTACGCGTACCGCCGTACCGGTACGCGTACCCGCACCCAGTAAGTACCCGGTACTTGTACGGCACTATTTTTGGAGTACCCGTGCTTCATAGGTTTTCTCACAGATTTGATAAATTGCACTTCCATGGTTGAGTTGTTAGTGGCACGAAATAAATTGAGCGGCACCCTACCCAGTTCTATTGGAAATCTTTCAAACTCTTTGCAAGAACTTGATATATCTGAAAACCAACTAATTGGTACAATTCCTAAAGAGATTGGTTCTTTGAGAAATTTGACTTCACTTGCATTGGCTTACAATAATCTAAATGGAAACATCCCCTCAAATCTTGGAGAAATTAAAAGCTTGCAAAGGTTGTATCTTGGCGGTAACAACTTTCATGGATCAATTCCAAATGAGATTTGCCTTTTGAGCAACTTGGGGGAACTTTATGCAGACAAAAATAAGTTATCTGGATCGATCCCAAGTTGCATGGAAAATCTTAGAGGTTTGCAGGTGATGAAGCTTTCTCGTAATAAATTGACCTTTACACCGTCGAGTTTATGGAACCTTGAAACTTTAAGGTACTTGAATCTTTCGTTCAATTCATTAGGTGGAAGCCTAGATCCAAACATAAGACCATCGAGAGTGATGGAAATCATGGATTTATCTTGGAATCAAATCTCAGGAAGCATTCCGAGAGTTATTGGGTCATTTCAAAGCCTAACTTCTTTGAACCTGTCTAGGAATTCATTCTCGGGACCCATTCCCAACACAATGGGCAATTTGATAACATTGGATTTCTTGGATCTTTCACACAACAATCTATCTGGACAGATACCTAAGTCTCTTGAGGCACTTTCACATGTCCAATACATGAATTTCTCTTGCAATAAGTTGGCTGGGGAGATTCCAAATGAAGGGCCGTTCATGAACCTCACATCACAGTCTTTCATGGAGAATGAAGCACTTTGTGGGAATCCTATTTTGAAAGTGCCACCATGTGCAAGCAATAATTCCAAGAAGTCGATGATTAAAATTAATCTTCGATACATTCTTCCTGTCATTGCATTGAAGCTAATCTTTTCTATTGGTGTGTATATTGTGACAAGAAATCATGGAAACAATGTCCAAAGTCAAAATCTGATAGATTTATATGCAGCAACGGAGCACAGAATGATTTCATATCTAGAGCTTCTACGAGCCACAGATGACTTCTGCGAAGCCAACTTGCTTGGAGTAGGAAGCTATGGCTCGGTATACAAAGGTGTACTTTTGGATGGGACAAATGTCGCTATTAAGGTTTTAAATTTGCAACTTGAAGGAGCTTTCAGAAGTTTTGATGTAGAATGTAAAGTGTTGCGAACAACTTGACATAGAAATCTTGTTGGAGTTATAACGACATGCTCTAATCCTGAGTTAAGAGCATTGGTTTTGCAATATATGTCTAATGGCAACCTTGAAATGTGGTTATATTCTCATAACTCTTGCCTTAATCTCCTTCAAAGGATTGACATCATGATTGATGTAGCATTAGCTTTGGAATATCTCCATTATGGTCAATTGGAGCTTGTGGTTCATTGTGATTTGAAGCCGAGCAATGTCCTTCTAGATGAAGACATGGTTGCACATGTTGCTGACTTCGGCATTGCCAAAATTTTAGCTGAAAACAAGACTGCAACACAAACCAAGACTTTAGGTACGATCGGCTATATTGCTCCAGGTAAATGTTTTAATTACCTTTATTTACTTTATATTTCTCATTTGACAGACTCGTTACAAATCAATTTTCTATGTATTTATTATTAATTTGTTGGGCATACATGTCTTGAATGTAAATTTTATGTTTTAAGTTCGTCGAAGAAATACCGTAGATGGCTTTTGTTAAATGTCAGTATATTGCTTTCATCAAGAACATAATGTCAAGTTGAGATAGGTTTAGGCTTTTCAATGCAACTTTAATGTTGAACCACATGCCTAATATTGACACTAATTACTAGATTAATTAGATTACTAGGTTAAAGGACTAGCCAAAAAGAAAAAAAGAAGAAAATATGAGGCAATGAATAATTTTAGAATAAAATACACTAGGTTCCTAAAATATACGTTCTATCATGTTATTTTCATCGCCCGGGTTTTAATTTTGTCAATTTTATTCCTAAAGTTTTCAATTTGAAGCAAATTGGTTTAATTTCAAAGGGATTGTTTAAATCATTAAAATGAAATAACTACGATTATAATCCTCGAAGTATGTTTCATGTCACTTAATTTCTAGAAGTCTTCAATTTTGTTGCTTTGGTCACTAAACACTAATTAAGAAGACAAAGCATAGCCTTACAATGCTATTGGATAAAATTGATAAATTTAAAACTTTAGAGACTCAAGTGATATGACACGCATACTATTGGTACCATAGATGAATTTATATTATTATTTTGTTAATGTTTAGACAGTTGTGTGAAATTGGAGAAGTTTGACTCAAATTTAAAAACTTTATCGACAATAATTCAAATTTGGTTTATTAAAGTGACACAAAATGCATATTTTATGGATCATAGGTGTGCATGTTACCCATCCTTTTAACCAATTTTGAAATAAAATATTTTGCCTAATTGAGCTACCTCCTTAAAATGCCATATGTCATCTATTTTTTTCACCGTTTTATATGACCAGGATACTTGGGAAGATATTAGTTGTTTGCATTAATTTTTTCATAATCATCTTCAAACCAGGAAGTCAATTATAAGTATCCATATAGATGGCAATATAAAATGGTAATAAAGATCAGTGACATATAACAATTTTCATATTTTATACAGAGTATGGCTCCGAAGGACGAGTCTCAACAAATGGTGATATATATAGCTATGGTATGATGCTTTTGGAAGCGTTCACAAGAAAGAAACCCACAGATGAAATGTTCTCTGCAGAGATCAATTTAAGGCAATGGGTGAGCGCATCACTTCCCAACAAAATTAGGGAAATAGTGGATGGTGGTTTATTGAGGATGCAAAATGGCAGTGACATGGTTACCTCACAAAGCATTCTTCTTGCTATTTTACAATTGGGTTTAGAGTGCACCAGTGATATACCTATGGAGAGGAGTGACATTAAAATGGTTCTTGTCAAGTTGAACAGGATCAGAAAGCAACTCCTTCATATCCAAAGTATTTGACATGCTAATGCAGAGTGTTTGGCCATAGAGTTTTCTAAAACTCATGGACAAACATAGCAAAGGCAAAAGGCACTAGTAGACGTGAGTTAGTACATGCTTGGAAGTAGAATTCAGTCGAAACACTGAAAATGACGTCACGATCAATAGCCATCTATTTGCCATGGCATACGATGGATTTCGGTCAAATTCTAATATTTTGGCCTCTAATTTCACGACTTCGCTGTTTTTGAAAATAACTAATTCGTTAATTACTTGGTCTAGACGTATCTGTTTGAGGTTAGGTTTTTTTTCCAAAATATGTAATTCTTATTCTAGATTCTAGATTTGAGATTAACTCAGATCTTTCTATTTTTGGTAATTTTCATATTATCTTTAATTTAAGCTTGATTAGTGAGCATTACCTTCGTTAGCTTATCTCCTATTGCATTGGGGCTTGTTCTCTATAAATAATGGTCGTGAGTCTTAGGGCAAAACATCTTATTTTGCGAGAAATAATATATGTTCAAGAGAGAGTATCTCTTTTATGAAATTTATAGTTAATCTTTGTATTTGAGTTTCATCTGATTATTCTACCTTGCATCACGTGCACCTGCACATGCACATACACTTGCGATATTGTATGTGTATGTACATTACCACAAAATTTCGTAACATCAACTACAAAATATCTAACATCACCACAAATTGGTGTAACTAAAAATTTCGTAACCAAACTATAAACTTTTACAACATTAACCAAAAAATTTTGGACATTTTGTAACACAAATTTGTGGCGAGATTTTTTAACACAAAGTCACTAGTATTCTATCCCTCTTGTACCTAGGTCGGCCCTTTCAAACATATATGAAAATATTTCTCATGTTGATTCTAGTAGTGTTTTTCTTTTTTCTTTTTATTAATTTTTTTTTAATGAGGTGATTGCCAAAATCAAATTTTATTATAGTTTGTAAGAATACTAGCGAATAACCCATACTTGAAGGCACTCCCACCAAAAAGAACTGATAACACTAATTGCAAAATAATATTCTACAAATATATAAATTAAGTTCCATAAGTAGTAGCATTTGAGCATATCAAGAAGTCCTCCTAGAGTACTATCCATTTACCTATTTTTGGGTAGAGGTTGATTCTTGAGAATTGTGATCCTCTTTTTTTTAAAGTTATAATGAAAGATCTCCATTACATTATTCAAGAGTTTGTAATAATTCTTTATAAATTTAAAATATTGATAAATTCTCATTATTATTTTACAATTCTTAGATGATGTAAGAGAAATTCTCCATTATAACAATGTAATGGAGAGGATCTCTGCCCGATTCATGACGGGAACTTTTGCATCAAAGTTTTACCATCCTAAGCAAAATCTTGTATAAAATACCAAAGAAGTCCACTTCAATAATGCTTTTGGGTACCAAAGAAGTCCTCTATAGAATACTATGAACAATGAAGACAATTTGTTTAGAGATGATCATTTACTGTATCCGTTAAAAAAAAATATTATTCAAAGGTTGTGCTCAAATAAAATAAAATAAAAAACATAAAACTTAAAATGGACATCAACACAACATTTTTTCATAATCAATCCAAAATATTTTATAACTTCACATCTAATAGATTCAATTGAGAGCATTCAAATTATTTAGAGCAAAAAAAGGTAAGCTACCAATTTTCTTACATCCTATAGTAAGCTGCCAAATTTCTTGGTCTTTTGCATTATCCAACATCCAATTGATCAATGCAATTGAACCAATATAATGAAAAACACATAGACTAATTTCAGAGCTTAAAAACAATTAAAAAATATATTGTTCTAAAATATAAGCAAAACAACTAACGTAACTATACAGTGCAATACAAAGCTAGGTATTAGGTTACTTTTTCTCTCCACCACTTTTGAGAATGAAAAAAATGCAACAAAAATTAAAAGAAGTAAAATAAATTGGAAAATTGATATATTGATTTAAAAGAAATTTATTCCGATAATCAAGCAAAACAATAACAAATTTATGGCTAGTAATGAATCAGCCAATTCACAATTTGATTTGTAAACCCAACTAATTGCCACCTTTAAGAAAAAAATTGTGAACCCAAACCCACCTAATAAGGACTTCTAAGAGCATCCACAATGGGATGGCTAAAATTGTTTGTTAAAGTGTGTTATATGACAAGAAGTGATAAAAGTGGGGCCTAAAAATGTGTGTTAAGGCGTGTTAAGAGTTTGTTAAGTTTAGAGAGTGAGTGGTGGTGCAATGGATTTGTTAAGGTGTGTGTTAAGATATGTGTTAAGAGTGTATATATATAAACAATAAATAAAATAAATAATAATTGAAAAGTGCAGTCGGCCCCACCCCACTGCACTGTGTGTTAGCCCCTCTCTCTCTCTCTCTCTCTCTCTCTCTCTCTCTCTCTCTCGACTGGCCACAACGTGTGTTAACTGTGGCGAGTTGTTTAGCCACTAATACTCATTTTTGGGTTTAGCACACCCACTAACACTTTCATTGTAAAGACAAAAGTGTGGTTGGCTAAAAAATTAGCCACTGACACTAACACACCCACTAGCACATCCATTGTGGATGTTCTAAGGTAAAGATAGGGGACCATATGAGTAAATTAAGTTTAATAAAACAACCAAAAACTTGGTTAAGGGGACAACCTAAAAACCACTTGCAACACCTACTACTCCCTTCCTTCCCACCTGCAAAAAAACGTGATTACTGGTTTATAAACAAATGCAGCTATGGGAAAAAAAATGTGATTAAGAAACAAGTTTTTTTTAAGGGACAAAGCATGAAGACATCAACATAAGAAAAAGTATATGTTTACCAAAAAAAAAATTTAACATAAAAAAAATGCACAACAAATATAGCGATCCCGATTTTGACCCGACTCTTGTGGTATCCTGGACTCGGATTTAATGCTTTCATATTGTTGTTTACCTCTTGTTTCCTATGTATCTCTTTGAAATTGGCTTTTGGGTTGTTGTGGTTGTGTTTAGGTAGGTTGGTTGCTTGTTTTTCCAACCTTGTGTTGCCCAGAATTTTGGTTCTCTGCTCGAGCGGCACTTCCTGCACTCAAGCGGGATTTACAAACTCTCAGTACTTTTATAAGTCTACAAAACTATTGGGAAAGTGCTTTCTATGCTCGAACGGTGTTTCCTACGCTCGAGCGGCCTTTCTTGCACTCGAGTGGTGAGCGTCTTGTTCATTGTGTCATGGTGCTCGAGCGACCTTTCTTGCGCTCGAGAAGAACAACATTTTGTGTCTGATGCTTGAGCAACATTTCTTACGCTTGAGCGGACTGTGCGTATATCAGATCGCAAAAATGACTTTTTACATCAATTTTTTAGATCTTTTCTGCCTAAAACCTAAAGTTGAGACCCTCTCTCTCTCTTTAAAACACACACACTCTCTCTCTCTCTACATTTTTACCTATTTCTAGTGATTTCCTCACCCTAATCCCTTTGATAAAAAGGTAGACCATCTCAAGATCTCCACTTTGATCCGAATAGAGCTGGGTTTGGGCATCTTTGAAGCTTCACCCTTGCTTGGGTCATCTTTTCTTTTTGAGGTAGGGATTTTCTACACTTTCATATGGTTTTTAGCTTAGTTATTTGTGGTTGTGTAATAATGGTGGAAATTTGGGGGTGGTTTAAACAAACCTATAGTTTGGGTGTGAAATAAAAGGATGGATTTTAGTAAATGTGAAATAAACAGTTATGGGATTTGAATATGAGGTTGCATTGTGACAAAATTGCTGATTTTGCCACTTGGATTGATATTTGGGGAAAAAAAAGAGTTTTGCCTAAATGGGTCAAATTGTTATTTTGTACACACTACTACAAAAACAGATAAAGATCACACTTTTTTTGTGTGATGTATGTTATTTAATCACACCTTTTAAGTTTTATTAAAGTGTGATCTTTGGGAGTGTGATTAAAAGGTGTCATTTTTAATTACACATTCTAAGTGTGATTAAAAATATTTAGATCACACATTTTAAGTGTGATTAATAACATTTAGATCATACTTCTTAAATGTGATTAATAACATTTAGATCACACATTTTCAGTGTGATTAAAAATATTTAAATCACACCTTTTAAGTGTGATTAATAACATTTAGATCACACTTTTGAAGTGAGATTAATAACATTTAGATCACATCTTTTAAGTGTGATTAATATCTAATAAAACCTTTGATTAATATTGATTTGAAAAATAATCAAAATTATTTTAGTACGCGCATTTGAAGAATGCAATACACACTATATGCTATATTTTGAATCACAACCACATATTGAATGGAATAACGTTCACTACAAGAAAAAACACTTTCCGTGACCAACATTTTGGTCACGAAAAGTACCATATTTGGTCACTAAAACCTTTTCGCGACCAAAATATGTAGGTCGCGAGTTGGTCGCTAAAGCCTCGTCACAGATAGTTTTCTGCGACTAAAAAAGCCTTTGGTCACTAAAAGTGACCATTCGCAATCAACTTTTTTGGTCGTAGAAAGTCCAATTCATATTAGCCAAAAGTAAACTTTTAGCGACCAAAGATAAGTTGGTCGTCAAAAGTCAGCGCCTTGACCCCAAAAAAATAATTCTTTTGTGCTGCCTAGGACTTGAACTCCTGACCAAGGAGTCACTATGCACCCAATCCACTCTGCCAATAATATGCTTCTTGTTCATAGTTGTCAAAAAATATAGATAACCCATAAAAATTAGGTTATATATTATTTTATAAAACTTTTAATGCCTAAACAGAAAAATAGCATGTAATTACAGTAGTATCATTTTTTTAAAAATTTATCTTGTCATAACTTTCCGCGACCAACTTTTTTTTTTGTCGACAAAGGGTAATTTTCCGCGACCAAAAAAGCCTTTGGTCGCCAATAGTATACTTTCCGCGATCAACTTTTTTTTTTGGTCGCCAAAAGGTGATCTTCTGCGACCAAAAAAGCCATTGGTTGCCAATAATATACTTTCCGCGACCAAGTTATTTTTTTGGTCACCAAAGGGTACTCTTCCGCGACCAAAAAACCCTTTGGTCGCCAAT